GGAGAATTTTGTCTGCCTTTAAAAGAGAAATTTGGGACTGATCAAAACAATTGGTCTTCATCCCGTACGACACGCCCGACCACCAAGCCGATTTGCACGAAGACGTCGCCGAGCCGTCGCTCCCTTCTCGTGGCTGAAGACATCGCTTGCGCAAACGTCAAGCACGACGTGTCTACTTCGAGTTGAATATGCACGCGTACGATTTCTTTACAAGGTGAGAATGTCGCCAATGCGGGGTGCATCCCGACTTCGACCTGGGAGTGCTTTCGCTAAAGGAAAATCGGTAACAAACTTTCCAACTTACAGTTTATCGGCTGAATTATTACTAAGGAAAGAGATCCCCCAGTTCTCATATGCCCCAGTAGCTTAGTGGGAAAGACGTCCGCTTTACACGTCGGAGGATCGGGTTCGATCCCCCGTGAAACTTTTTTTTTTTTTTTTTCGTATGTTTTTCGATGTTTACATTTCTTTTCTTTTTTTACAATTATCACTGAAGAAACAAAAAAAAAAAAAAGAAACAAATGTTGTGGACGACACGTCGCTGAATTAAATAGTATGGGATTTCCTTTTTGCCACCTGCAAACTCAATGTAATCACTTTCCACAAAATGCAAGGAGCATATAAACCAGGTAGCGTCCGCTTCCCGAGGTGCCCGTAAATGGTCTACAGGAATTGCAGCCAACCATTGGTCCCGATCCCGTTGATCTTTCGGAAACTTTGTCGCACAATGCCACTTCTGTTTCGGACGCAGGACATGTGAGCCAGCTCTTCACGCAACATCTTGGGTGTATTCTTTTCGGAGCCGATCAAAATTCACCACGGGCACTCACTACTCATCTCCAAGTTCTCAATGTACAAAACAACTCATCATGGAGTACAGAACAATGAGCGGAACATACATAACTGCAAAATAATCCCACGGCGAACAGTTCCCGTACGCCGCATGTCGTCTGCTACCGAAAAGGAGAAAAAAAAAAAAAAAACACTGTTGGGTGTAGCCACGTGACTTCCGCCACTCGCTCTTTTCTCTCCACTTCTCCGACCTCCGTCGGGTTTCGGTTTCGGTTTCGAGCAGTTGCGTCTTTTGGCTTTATTAAAAAAATACGCTACTCTGTTGCAAAATATTAATTGGGTAGTCCTCCGACACCATAATAAAGCGCCTGGCAAAAAATTTTAAAAAATTTTTGGGGGGTGTCAGTGTCCCTTTAAAGCATTCAGTATGAGCCTACGGTGTCATGCTCCAAACTATGGCGTGTCACCACAATCAGCCACAGACCCACTCGGTTAAAAATCCTCACTGAAAGAAAATCGCATTTTATGGTTGCGTAATATTTTTAATTGCACAATATTTTTAATATTATCATAGAATGCCTGCATAGTAGTTAAGCTACAACGTGTCTATGTTACAAGATTTTTTTGTTTTATCCATACTTTCTTGTACATAAGGGGTTTGAGCGCTCTACATGGTTCAGAAACAGATTGGATGTTTTTGCAGTGCAGTCGCTGACCGATTTTTCGGACTCGGAGGGGACCCCGAAATGGTTTGAATAATCAAGCGGTCCGAAAAATTGATTTCAGCCAAAAGATCAAATTTTCGTGCATATTGATGTTGGCGGCCGTTAGAATTTGAAGTCGCACTGAACGTCGCGAAGGGTCCGGACAGTTTGGCAGGTTTCTGGCGTTCATGTTGGAACAAAACAAATAAATCTGACGACCAGAAGTATCTGTGAAACCAACCTAAAGTGCTTCCTGCACAAGCAATCGTGATCCGAATGCGCCTGGTTTTCCATTTTCACTGCACCTATCTACGTTCTCAGACGAACCGGGCAGGCAGAAAACATATGAAAACTGATCTTCAAGCCTTTCCTGACCCTTTGGTACAGACCCGGTCATGGTAATTTGACAAGAAGTCAGGTTTTTGTCTCGTGTCTTCCAGAACAATCCAATGGCGACTTCCGCCCAGAGCCTGAGACCAGAAGTGTGCACAACGCGCCACCACCGCACCATGACGTAACAGAGCTGAGTTTGTGCATATTGTCTGTACATGCTAATGGCAGTCTTTTGGTGGGTTATGGAGAAAGAAGTTGAAGACAGGCATTGACGCGAGGCTAGTCCGCTGTCGGTGTGGCGAGACTTATAAGCTTCTACACTATGCATTTAAGGGTGTCATGAATTCTTGGAATGGTCGCCTTTGGCACTCCCCAGACACCTCGTGACAATGAAATGTACGGAATTTTATAAAACGTTTTACTCGGGTAAGTGCCACAATCAGAGCAACAATTTCTTGTCACCATCGAGACTAAAACAAATAAAAAAATAACTGTGCAGCAAAGAACACCGCCACTTTCGTACGTCTGCCATTGACAAATGATACTAGTTTCTCACTGCCATTAGCATACAAATATTTAGATTGATATTTTGGCTACTAGATGGCACCAAATTTTTAAAATGGTCTATACTGTTCATTGCTGCAGAGGAGAAATGTAGCCAGGGCAGTATGATTGCCTACTAGTTTCTCACCGCCATTAGCATAAAAATATTTATATTGATTTTTTGGCTATTAAATGGCACCAAACTTTTAAAAGGGTCTATACTGTTCATTGCTGCAGAGGAGAAATTTAGCTAGGGCAGTATGATTGCCTACTAGTTTCTCACCGCCATTAGCATAAAAATATTTATATTGATTTTTTGGCTATTAGATGGCACCAAACTTTTAAAAGGGTCTATACTGTTCATTGCTGCAGAGGAGAAATTTAGCCAGGGCAGTACGATTGCCTACCCGGGGTCTTAAATGGTGTCTTTGCAGTATCTAGTATAATTACATGAATGCAAGCCAGTGCAATGCTCAATAATATAAAAACAGGCAGGAATACATCTTGAACCCAGGGTGCAGCACAAACTTTTGCTCTGCTGGCCACATATGCCTCATCTACATGCAGAAGTTTGTTCTGAAATTTGACACCTTTTGAAAGCGTGCCTGCGACAATGCTACATTAAATAAAAATAGTATACCGTAATATACCGAGAAATAGTTCACCTAAAATTGAGAAGAAATTTGGGGGAAATAAAGAGTGGGTTAACTTTTGGTGTGGAGTCAAGAAAGGTTAAAACAATTATATTTTTAGAAAATTTGTTTCTGCCAAACCTGTTATCGTGGCAAAGGGCAATGACGCAAAGATAACTGTACCTCGTAGTTAGCAATGTTCGCGTATATCCAGCCATAGCTAACTAGATGCATTTACGCCAAGGTATTCATTGCTTCCAACACTACGAATACAAGGTGTGGGCTATCTTTTGATGTTTAAAAAAAATAATTAATCAAGCCAAAAATAGGGGTGGGTTACCTTTCGGGGGTGGGGTATCTCACGGGATTTTTGGTAGTTCTGTTTTGGTTAGTGATGGGCCGAACATTTACCGAATCGAAGGTTGGGCGTCGAATCTCGGGATTCGGCAGAGCCAAACTTTTGCTGAACTTTTCTAAAGATGCGGCAAAGATTTGGCAAAAATACAATATTTAGTTTTTTCTTGGCAAAAAAAGATTTTTTTTCATCTCAAATGCAACATGTAATGCACATTGACACAGTTATTACTAAATAAGGTGATACGACTGCACAGCATTCACTTGCAACCTACGGCCTGTCGCGTTTTCACGCGTGTGCAGACATTTGCCGAATTTTTGCCAAATCCTTGCCAAACTTTCCTTCAAAAGTTCGGCATTTGCCGAACTTTTCCAAATTTGAAGTTTGGCAGCTTCGTTCCATCACTAGTTTTGGTTACAATTATAACTGTAGTATTGTATGGATGACAGATCATACTTTGGTACACCTCTGGCTAGCTTATTGAAGACACTAGTAAAGAAACCTGAGGAAAGCAGAGGGACAAGTTAGAGTTGTTTTAATTGTCTCCTTTTAGGAGGTTTTGTTGCAGAGTCTATGGCCGTTCACTGGCTCTGTATTACTGTAAACAACCAAGTAAGCACCCACTCAATATTTGGAGTTAATCTGGCAAAACTGGTGGATGGATGCTAGTTAGGTGCACAATTGTGGAAGAAGGCCATGACAGGGTAGGCTTGACTTCTTTGCACCAGCTCAGAGAAGTGATTGACCTAGAAGAGCATCTCGGTTAGTTTGGCGGGCTCAGAAGCCTTGGGTGAGTGCTTGACATGTTGTTTTCTCACTTTTGTCACTCTCACTTACACTTTCTAAGTAGTGGGTGGGCCCTTATTGTGACATGGGTGCACGTTTGGTGTTTTACGTTATACCATACTTACTCGGGTAATAGCCGCACTATTTATGAACAAGGCCCTTGCATCTGCTTTCCCACAGTACACATATACAGCCAATCATTGTGTTGCGCAAAAGTAACATTGCGAATAACAAGATCAAGAGCACGATTCTCCATACAAATGCAATTTTCACAGATGGCGAAAACGTTATCTCTGTCCTGTAAACCGCTGGAATCATGCTGCCGTTCGCGGTGATTGGCAAGCCACATACCTCGCGGAAAAGCGAACCCTCAGGTTTTCTTCATAAACAGTGCGGCTATTACTCGAGTAAATACGGTATGTGTAAAGGCAGACCAGAGATGAAAATGTCTCGTATAAATGCAGTTGTTTGTCTGAAGATGGACGTCGGGGCAAAAGTTAGTTGCTTTATTAGTTTGTGTGTAGGATACTAGTCATTCTATTACCAGCAATACCTCAAACTAAGCGGGTTCATACTGAAACAAAACCTTTTCTTCCTTTGGAAAATGTTTTTTCTAGTAATAAGGGTACCTTGCAATTTAAATGCTAATTTCAATTTGTATTGCCTACAATTTCTTAAATTCCCTATGCTACACTTAGTCTATTACGTGTCAAATCCCAGCTTCCGTCAAACTGCCATACTGCAGTCTGCCAACTCGCCTTTCAAACTACACGCAAATTATCCATTACATTTCTGTTGTTTTGACAGTTTCCACAGCTCTAACAATGCGCTACACTACTGTTGTTTTTTTGACAGGTTTATTCTAGCATCACGGTCCGAGTACTTCTCTTCCTTGCTCAAAGACCAAGACGCCGAGAGTGTCATTTTCATGGACGGGTGAGTCATTTGCTCGCATAGAGTTTGATTTGGTATAGAATACCGAACGAGGAGTGGTTTGTTTGGACAAATGGCGCCATCTTGTCCGGAACTGTTGCAACTCTGAGATTGCCCACGGCCGTAATGATAGAATCCAATCTGGAGCTCAAACCTCCGAGCACCCTGCCAAGCACAAACGCGGCGCTCGTGCCAATAGTTCAGTGGCACGGCTTGCCCAAAGTTTTTTTTTTTGGCCACTGGACGTGACGACTAGCAGCCAACCGTGGAGCCTCCCGTCACTGCTGTGGGGTTATAACGCGGTACTAATCCCGAAATTTCGTCACACCGCTCAAGGTCCTCAAAGCAGTTTACGGAGCCCGAGAGCCTCCCATCGACCGAGGTGTCGACGGAGCTCCTTGGCGGTGCTTGCGCGTAGTGTGGGAAAGTGGGAAAGCAGTGAGAGAGAACTGCAGTTTTTCGCCTCTCCTTCGTGACTCACCCTTTCCCAGTTCACGCGGACGGTGCAACGCTGATTCGGTGCCGAGTCGTTGCTGACGCTGGAGATGCAGGTTGCAAGCATTTCTTTGAGTCCACGGTGAAAGGGCGGTGCATAAAAAAAGTTATAAAAAATTATGCAGGTTGGAAGTGTCCTAGTGTCGCCCGATACACGCCAACGTCGTGGTTCCTCGTCATGAGCGGTTACAAGGGAATGCAACACATTCGACTGCAATCAAGCGGAAGTGTGTAAACTGGACTTCACTCCCGGCACTGTTTTCCTTTCACTCCACAGCTTCACTCATGCTGCTGTGCTGTTCTCGCTGCACCACCTGTACGGCGGTGCAGCACTGCCCCCCAAGGAGGTGCATGTCTCGGAGCTAGCCCTGCTCGCGGAGATGCTCGGCCTGGATGGCCTCCGCCGGGTCGTCCTGTCCCACATCCGCACCTACTACTGCCACTTCTTCCACAAAGTATGTCCTCTGTCCCCACACTCGTCGTCTTCGACAACGCGATCCGTCAACGTCGGTTCGTGGAATAAGGGTCAAAGATATCAGGAAAACTCAGGCATTTGTTCTCGTGTCACATATAGCTTCCCTACCCTGCACCTCTACCACTGGACAAGGTCTGAAGAAGCTTGCGACAAAGAGGCCCGTGGATAGCGATAGCCAATAAAATTCAATCAATGTCTGCTAGAACTCGGCTAAACTGTTAGGCACTCGATGGATGCTCTATGGCTTGGCGTGCCAAAACATAATTGTTTTTGTACGCCGCTTGGAATGCTGTAACAGCTGGGTTTCAGTCGCTGCTGATGGGGAAGGAGCCGAAAAATGCAAATTGACTCCTCGTGCCCAAAACTTTGCTGCAGCAGCATTGCAGACATAAAATTTTCTTAATATAATGTCTAGGCATGTGTGAATTGCAAATTTTGAGTTTGAAGCAAATAGTAGTTTTGACTGAATGTTTTCAAATCGAATATCAAATAGTTTTTCCGAGCCTTTCACTACTGCGCCATGCTTGAACAAAAACCTAACTGAATTTGTCAAGGTTGTTCTCGAACTTTCACTTGCCCACTTGTAAACTACAATAATTTTAAGCTATCTATATTTATAGACTGTGGCCTCGAAAAGTTCAATGCCTACATTTGGTTGGCAACTAATCGACGCATTTGACATAAAATGTATCCTATGGATATGCCTAGCTATGTTTAATCGAGGGGATTTATAAATATTCTTGCTATATACAAAAAACCTTCTCTTCAGCTGCGAATGACTAAAACAGGTTTTCCGGGCATCTCTGCCTAACATATACCCATCCATAATAGGCAGTTTAATTTTAAAAATTTTACTGGAATGCTGCCATCAACATTCACAAAGTATTCGTTTCTTTTAGGGGCGAAGCTCCTTAGGGTCTAGCCTTGTCCGGCGTCCGTGCTCACATCGATTGCCATCCCATCTGTCTTCTTAAAAAAAGAAAAAAAATGTTTGTGCAGTCGACAGGATTCTAACCTTTGTGGGGAGACCCCAATGGACTTCTAGTCCATCGCCTTAACCACTCGGCCACGACTGCGGGACGAGTAAGCGGCTCTGAAATGTGGTAGTAACTCAAGAGCTGGGGATGTCATGGATGAAACGTTGCATGTAGCCGCTCAACGTCTATACAGGAGAGGGTGCTGCGGTCAAATGCGTATATAATCGCGTTAAATTTTGCATGCATTGGCTCAACGTTTATAGACGAAAAAAAAAAATCAGCACCATCAGCACTACCTATGAACAAAATCAGTATCATCAGCACCACCAGAGCTTTGCCCCAATCAACATCATTCACCACGTGGAGGTGCGGTCATTTTTAAATAAAAATGCGGCCGCAATAATTGTACTTTTCAAAGTGTTGATCGCAGCATTTTAGCCCCGTTGAGCACGCTTTTTACCGAGCACCGGTGCACTGCGGAGAAGCAACACCTGCAGAAGTGAGCTCCTCATACGTTGCTTCTTCGCAATGCACCGGTGCTCGGTAGGAAGCGCACTCAATGGGGCTATGCCACCACGATCACCACCTAGAAAAATACAAACATTGCAGCTCATCTTGAAGCGAATGTCGAATAGCATATTGTTCGAAACTGCTATTTGAATATTCGAACAACCCTAACAATGTTGCATTTTCGGCCGGGGTGGCAGACACTCAGCCGCATCTTTTCCCACCCCGTGTTGATGACATACAAAGAGCAATAATGCTGAACGAAACCGTCTGACATTTTTCAGCCCTGCAGCCAGTGCATTTCCGGGGTGGCAGAGTGCCTGCAAATGGCGCCGTGTGGCGGCATTCGGGACCTGCAGAAACGGTCGATCCAGTGGGTGGGCCGCTACTACTGCCGGGTCTGGCCACACCGGGCCTTTGCGTCTGTGCCTGAGCCTCAGCAGCAGCTCTGCTACGAGGCCACACTTCAGGCCCTGGTTAGTGACTCTGCCGGCCAGACTTCATCTGGAACTTCCTTTCTCGTCCGTTACAGAACAGAATAGCTAGTTGTTGGTACAGTAGAGCCCTTCCACAGCAAAGTCCTGTATGCACCATAAAATCCCATATGAATGCCCTCTGTGAGAGATCGCCCATCTCATTTTGATGGCAAAATATCCATAGGCTAAAAATTCAGGAGCATCGTCCACCCCTAATTTTCTTCGGCCATCACGCAATGTGTGACGGGGACCGGTATGTGGGACAGGTTCGTAGAAGGTACTCCTGTGTTTATCGCACCATCGGGGTTCTCCCTGCAAATTTGTGAGAACTGGATGTCTGGCAATTTCCAGGGTGTAGGGGGATAGGGTGAGCGGGCAATACAGTATAGACCACTTACAACGTAACCGCTTATAGTGCAGGACTGGGTATAATGCGTTTTTTTTAAACCACCGGTTCGCCTCCCATAGAACTCCATGTAATTACATACCGCTTAAAATGCAGGCGCGCGAAGGGAAATACCGGTTATAGTGCGGTTTCTGGAACAGCCCGCCGACCGCGCCGAAGACCGCAGCAGTGAGCACGCTTCCCTGTGCGACACTAGATAACGGCGCTGATGGCGCTAGCCGCATGCGGCACTCGCGGGGCAGGGAGGTTGCTCGAAGAAGCGGGGAGAAGCGAAGAGAGAGGCTTCAGTTGCCATAGTGACGGAGGGACGGACACTTGTGTCGTTCACGTGCGTGCGTCCCTCCGCTGCGTTGACCAATCGCAGGTCGAGGAGAAGTGTTCGCGCGCGTTGCATGCCGGTCGCGGGCCAACTTCTTCTATCCGCAAACATGGCGTCGGTTGTGATCGTCGTCGTAGACGGCGTGGTGGAATCTCATCGTTCCACGTAAAAGCGCTATTCTTGACTGTGAATTTTCGTTGTGTGTCGCTATGACAGCCCAGCACGTACTAGAAGGGAATATCCACCTACTCGTGCGGCGATGTTGTGGCGGCGCTCTCAAAACGGCAGAAACGCCCGTGTCGTTGTGTTTGTTTACTTCGACTACAGTGGTGCTTTCTAAGCATTTATGTCCTCGAACATCGCCCGGATTTCTTATTTGGTGCATTTCATGCGTGTGCTCAAGTTGAAGATATTACTGGCGCGTACCGTATGAAGGATGCAAATTTTCACGCGTTTTCATCACCGGAGAAAAGTGATTAGGGTTAGCAATCCTGAACGCTCGCAACGTTCGTCCACAACCCGTGATGCCGTTAAAAGACTTTGCCAGGCAAAAGCCGCTCATTTCTTTCAAAATGTGTGGCACACTTGAGACAGAACTGTACTAGTCTGGTAAAATAAAGACTGTCCTCAAACTAAGCTTTATTTTTCATCTAACATAAAATAAATAGTTTTACAAAGGTAAGTTGTCTCATGGCATGTATTTTGGCCTGAAAAATTGATGTTTTGGTTATAGCTCGGTACCGCTTATAGTGCGGAATTTCGTGACTCCCGCGACATACGTTATATGCGGTCTATCTACACTGTAGCTGTAACTTTTGATGTTCTCGGCACTTTCTCTGTTTCACAGCAGCGATTTTGTTCACAGCGCTTATGTGCAGTTTGTTTGTGCAGTGCCATGCAAGTCTGCCAAATACAACAGTCTGGGGCATTGTGCATTTTCAAAATCAGCATCATCTTTTCCAGCAGTGGCAAAACGTAGGGGTAGGCTGGACATAGCTTGGATGGGCAGTCAGCGAGATTGGTGGGGGTTAAAACCACTGCCACCCAGTGCGTGGCCGTGGTTTTAACAGCTTAATTTGAGTTCATTAGAACGAGCTCATGGTGGTTTCCCGCATGTTTTGTCACACCACAGAACCTGTTGTGTTTCGGTTTCAGTTTCAATATTTTAGCAATCCATTCTGTAAGCCAAAGAAAGGCAAGCGAATAAAAAAAAAATCCATTTCTTCAACATGAATAAAGACGGTTATCAGTTCGCATAACCGGCCTCACTATGCGACACCCCTCGGCAGCATGAGCTACAAAACGGCATGACAGCTATGTAAAAAGATTCAACAGATATTCAACTTTATAACCTTTAAATAACAAATTTGGACTGATGAAACATTGAGGTATTTATTGTCATTTTTTTTATTTATTGCATTCCACTACATCACGTGATCGCAGTACAGTGTCAGTTTCAAACATCCTGGTCTTCTGTTGTTTGGTAACACTCACAGCTATGCTGCTCGCCCCACTACGGCTCGCATTTGCTGTGGAATGCATTTGTGAAACCTTCTGTGGATTAGAATTAAAATAAAGTATAAAGTTAAGCTATAAAAAGTTATATTCCCGAGAGGGTTTCAACCCGTAACTTGGCAAAAATAACAGGTAGGAGGGCTGTGCGCGTGTAGCCTCTCGACTACCCACACACCCTCCGTTTTCATGCCGTTTATTTTTGCGGATTAGCCATAGGACATTGTCGGTATTTGGTATTTCTGTATTTCCCACGATCGGCGGTTTTGGGTTTTTCATAAATTTTCCTTTACCGCAATCTTCCTCAGCATTAACTTGACATGCCAATCCTCAAGTATCCACTTATATTTCTAGCCTTCTCATTCTTTTTCTGCAAGCGGATCAGCACTTCTCTGGCCGAAGCGAGAACACATTCATGGCTCATCATTTGAGGGAGAAGAGCGGGAACGGAACGAGCGGCGATATGCGCAGCAGCGCGAATGGTTTCTTAAGGCTGCGGTCCCACGGCGGCCATGACATATGACGCTTTCAGCACGTTTTCGAAATGCGATCGTGGCGTGTTCAAGCTTGCTAAAATTATGTGTTATATATCATCTTGTAGTGTACAACATTATCTTTTATCTGATGTAGGATTTGTTTTCCTAGTGCAAAAAGCTAATTCAGAGGGCACCCGCGAACATTGACCTTTTCGGCAAAACATGGTTTCGTAGTACAGTGGTACAGGGTGCACTATTGGAGCAATTTCTTTCTAATTAAAGAATGTTATAGAAGAAGAGTGCGTTCATTGTCAACGGAGGCCCTTTTTTCGTTTTTTATTTTATTTTGACAGATATTTACTTTAGAAAAATTGACTTTGCGGAAGCACTTCAGTCGCGAAGTTTTGGGCGCCTACTCGGTCATTTTATTTGAAACTTTTTACATCAGTTTGTAATTATGGTCGAAAGAGTTACGCTAAATTTCATTGTAATATGGCTTAAACTTTTTTCGGAATGCTCACGTGAAAAGTGACAAACACCGTTAATTTTGGCAAACTTCATTTGGTAGTACAGTGGTACAGCGCTTAGGGATTGGCACACATGAATAAAATTGTAGGCCCGCAAAGAAAAACATATTCTGCTTTGCAAAGCGAGGCCCTTTTTCTAAATTTCACTTTTGATTTTCCATGAAAAAAGTTTGAATATAGGTGAAATCACGTATTTGTTGATAGTCAAAAACGAGTATTTTGACCCTTTTTGGCAGACATTTAGGCCAATATTTTTAGTATTAAATGGAGATTACTGTTCCAGGTCCTGATTATTAGCCCACATTTTCACTAATCGAGCCTATTTATTTAAAAAAATCATAAAACACACAGAAAACACAAATTGGATGTCTGGTTGCGCCCTCTATGTGGCGGTGGCTGAAATGTGACTACGCGAGGTTCAGGAAACTGCCGAGGATGGCGCTGATTCCAGCTGTGGTTGCCAGCTTCGGAAACTGGTTGTACACTTGGCTTCTTCCGTTTCTTGCAAAATAACGTGCTGGAAAACTTGGTCGAAACTCGTGAGGTCCTTTATAACACGGTACTTTCTGCTAATATAGCTTTTAGGAAGAATTTCAGTCGCTTTCATATTGTTAAACGATTTTTTTTTTATGCGAGGCTCCACCGCGGTTCAGTTTGCTGAATAAATTGTTCACGGAATCGATATCGAAGTTTCAAATTACCGAAATGCCAAAATCGCCAGTTCTGCGTAGATACGCAGCGTGACGCACGTGCTTCTGGTGCGTGTGCACGTACGTGTTTGCTGCGTAGTTCTTCGGTTGCTGCGAGTTTTCGCGTATTTATTGTGCACTGCTTACCTCCGTCTGCGCACGCATCTCATCCTTGTAACTACCCCTGCTCTGTTTGCCTAGAGTGAAGTTTGTGTCTGTCTTTTCGTTCGCTGACTAAGCTCGTGTCGGTGTCCTTCCTACTGGCTGCTGTTCGTGTTTACGTACCGTGTGTGTCGCTTTGATTACTAGGTCCCCTGCTTATGGGGTGGAGCAAGCGGTGGGCGTCGCGCCAGGGGTGGGTCGTGATTGGGGAAACAGCTTAGCAGCCGACGCCGACTTCGGCGCGTTTCTTCTGCGCACGCGCGTACTGTCATTGATATCGCTACTTCGCGCCGTGACGATGCGCTGATCTACAGGCCGGTCGGCGCTCGCGTGATATTGTTGAAAATTCTCGAGCGTGTATTCACGTTTCGAAAGCCATAATAGAATTAAAGTGGACATTTGGCCGGCAGCCGGCATACCGTGGCTCTGAAAACAGATTGCTAGGAGTGCCCTCTCATTCGCTGGTTCCACGCTGGGTGCGCGCAGTCCGTGCTTCTGGCCTCCCCGGCCGCCCAAATGCGTTTTTCTGATGCTTGTTTTGTTTTCAGTAAACAGACAAAAGATTCCTGCTGATATTCTCCTTTATAATCTTCACTCTTGACAACTCTTTAGTGTTGGAAGGAACTCCGTCAAATTTGACGATAATGCATGTGTAAGTACAACTGGAACCTCATAGTTGCAAGAATACTTTTCCTGGATTGTCTGCATTAGAGTGTCTCCATGTGCGCTTCGCGCACATGAAGGCTCCCTAGTCTGCACGTTTCTGATAATATGATCGGTCTCCATAAATTACACTTCCCCGCTTCGGGAGCACGGCCAGCGGTGGTTCTCTGTCGGTCATCGAACCTCACACACGTGAAGCGTTGTCAAAGCTGTGATATACCGGGCGTTTTATTATTCTGTTTTGTT